TAGTTATAAACATTATTTGACTAATTTACCTTTTAAATTAACTTGAAACAATGCATTTTAATTGGTTTTATTGGCTTAAAATATCTAATTAAAACTTTAATTCAAAATCTTCAAGTCAAATATATTCAAAAAAATATTAATTTCCAGTGGATAATATATATTTGTAATTTAGACAACAGGAATACTAATTCAAAAAGTTCTTGCTGAATGAACAATGAGTTTAGATACATTTCCATACCATTAACCATTGCTGAAAATATATCGCTAATTAAAAAAGCTTCAGTTAGGCTAGACAGAAATGGGTATATCCTAGTTCGACCCCCAGAAGCAGCAACCCCAACCGCCGTGGGTTATTTTTGCACATCGTTTATGTGGCCCCCAGCACAACTAGGCGGCTGTCCCCTTTTTCCCCTTGGCTCCAACACGATCTCCATCTCCGATCGCCGACTGTCAGCGCTCCACTTGTGGCGTCTGAGGATCGGAGCGGAGCCCGCAGTTCTCCATTCGGGAACTCGGACCCAAGGTCCAAGAGCCAAGAGCCAGGACTGGGACTGGACTGGAGTCATCAGTGGGCCTGCCCTTTGGTTGATATTTATTTTTTGCTGTTTGGGCTGATTAAAACTGAGAAATCCAATTTATTTCAAAATTTATTGTGTCTCACACGCGCTGGGACGTTCAGGAATTGAAAAATATCAATAAAGGCATATGAATTGTTACCCAATAATAAATCAAGTCCCCCAGCAAGACAAACAAATATTCCTTTTATTGTTTATATACTCGTATACAAAAGGAAAAGGCTGAAAAAAGTTACCTTGCCATCAGTTTTATTCCCGCCGTCTGTGGCATTTTTCGCACCGGGCCCAATGAGAAATATTTCAATGTGAAAATCACCGAAAAAGCTGGTGGGGAAAAGGAAAAAACGTGAGCAGGCTCCCCAGGTTATGCGGCCCATGATCATCATTTCATTTCAATTCGCTGTCCCAACTGGAAGACGGCAATTTTCTAAGAAAGACGAAGCGCATACCGAGGAGCCAAACGATTCCAGATTGGCTCCAACTTGGTGTTTCAGAAATATGTGCAAACAATTACGTGCTTCAGGAGAACGAGAAGCAAAACGAGATCTTCCCTTCTGGATCGCCGACCATCCATCCCATCCGAACCATCCATCCGTCTGTCTGTTTGGCTTTGTATTTTTTCTCCGATTTTTTCGTCAATTAGAATGAGCTGCTCCTTAAAGGAAGCTGTGAATGTGCGAAGATTTCTTTTATACGAGTGTGTTCCTGGCCCAACCTGGTCTGCTTTTTTGGAAGCCCTGCAACCATCAACGGCAGCTAAAATTAATATACCCGCGATAACTCAACATCAACATCAGGCCGGGCCTGGGAGATGGGGAGTGCACTGAGAAAATATTGGGATACTGGGATGCTTGCATAAAATATCAAAAGATGTGTTATTTCCTGTTACTTAACGTAAATTAGGTATATTAAACAAGCATATTTTAGGTAGAAAACAGTTTCTTGAAAGATTTGTTTATTTTTCTACTTTTGCAGCTGTGTTGCAACATTTTTTTTTATATCTGTAGTTTTAAATTTGGAATCAAACATGACTTTTTAAGTAAGAGTCCTATACTGAAATAAAGTCTTATCAAATTTGCTTGAGTTCTAGAAAAGCGAATATGTGGTGCAGAAATTATAAGGAGGTCTGATCCGAGCTTAGTAATTGCCTTGTTAGAGTTGTAGCATATTTTCTCCGAGTGTGGCTTCCCCCAACACCCCCTCCCTAACCCCTGGCCAAACTCTTTTGCAAATTTCTGCCCCACGTTCCAACATCCTGTTTCGTGCCGTTCATCTTGTCTCTCCAATTGTTGGGCCCGTCTCTTTGTTGCTTTTCCATTGTTGTTGCAATTGTTGTTGGTGTTGTTGGTGTTGTAGTTGTTGCAACTATTGTTGTTGGTGTTGCTGGTGTTGCTGGTGCTGTTGTTGTTGGCAGCTAGTTAAGCAGTTTCGCGTAAACGTTTTTCCAATATGAGTTTCGGCTGCGGGGAACTCGGGCTGTGTGCTGGCTAGCCTGTGTGTTTAGGCTGTCTACAGGGTTGTTATTTTAAAATTAGCACTTTGATTTAAGTTGTCTACACTCTTGGCGGCCCGTCTCCAGTTGGCCAAAAGCCCCGAGACTCGGCTCAGGCCGAAACTACAGCTGCATTTTAGCCAAGGTGTTGAACAGCTGAGTGAAGGGTAAGATACGGGGTAGAAGGTGCTTGGGATTGGTATTCGGATTGGGATTGGGATTGGGATTGTGAGTCCAACTTGATTGCCGCCACAAAAGGTTGAAGGTTAGGGCAAGATAAACTGTGCTTGATGGTGCCCAGAAAGCCATTATCCACATATCATCGCCGGATGATTTCAGATGTGTTGCAATGTGCGGGGGATCGCATAGGTTCGGATTGGATCGCATTGGAATATCCCACCGCCCGATGATTATGCTGATGGATCGGACAGTTCCTGGGAGTCGAAATGCCACAAGATGATGGCCAGTTGAATGATTTCGGCTGTGGCATTCGTTTCCTGGTTCCCCATTTTATTAGTCACGGCTTTCTCCATTATTTTGTGTTCGCCAGCGTAGAGCGAAAACATCTGGGCAATAAATCTACTGAACAGCGGATCTTGGTTATTTATTTTATTACATCTTATGGGCCTTAGTATAAAGTTAGCACCTGTTGTGGCTGGAGCTGGTGCTTTTCAATACACCTTTTCTAGCATAAGCTGGGCTTTCCTTTATGACGAAATGTTCGTATTCTAAAACGTTTATTTTATACGCGTACCACTTATTTTGAATAATAATGCAGTGATTTTCATTGTAAAATATGTTATATTAATGCCATAACAATTGCTTTTCAGGTCTGCAAGACTCATAGACAGACTAAGGAGCAGACTCAGTACCCAAATAAGATGGATGCTGCCAATTATTTCAGCTGGGCCCACTTGAAGATTACCATGCAATCTGGCCAAGTTTTCCGCAGTCCCCATTATCAGTGCCACTTCCTAGTTGATGTACGCACATTGTCGAGACCGCTACTCCATTGAGTTGATTAACCCAGAGGCATGTCTCCCCTTTGGGTCGGGAATATCGCGTAGCCAATTCTTGGACGGGGGCCAGGTGAAGCCAGGTGAGAAAGAGCACGTCGCTCCGTTCTGAGGCGCCAGCGAAAAGCGATGAAAGAACCGCATCTGCCGCAATTACGGCGATGAGGTTCTGCAGAGAGCGTCACGTCTCCGGTTCTTAGGCCTCAAGATCACCGATTCAGATGAAGATCGAGATGGAGATGGAGATCTGGTCGCAGTTGCTAATCAACTCGTTTATCGGCCTCAGACTCGCCAGCGTAATCAATCATTGGCCAGATAAACAAGCGTGTGGATCGAGCTTATCTGATCCGTAGTCAGGGACCCTCGAATGGCACGTAAATCGCTTCCGGCGGACTTGGCAACTGGTTCTTATCACTGGCCTAATTAAATACAACAGCCGTTTTAGCTGCAAAATCCTCTAACTTGTAATTGTATACATACGTAATAGTTGCAATGCCTAATTATGCCAAATTAATAGAAACAGCTTTAAAGCCGAATCAACCAACAAGTTCCATTGGCGGAAGTCTGACTGTAAACTGAAGTGAATCCAAATGAAGCGAAATGAAGTGACGTGAAATGCCGATGGGCATTAAAATGCATTCGAATCGGAACACATTTCACTACTAATCAGAGCGATAGCCGGTCAATGGACAATGGACTGCGGCTCGGAAGGCTCATGCATCTTTAATGCCCCATTTTGTGGCCGGAAGGAAGCGCAACACGTAAACGTGTTAATATGGACAGCACAATCTATTAATTTGTCAACAATAAAGTAAGACAAGCGACAGGCGACATCGTTCCCGAATGAGAGCATTGATTGGAGCCACCGGGATGGGATGGGATCTTCCGACTCTTCCAGAGCCACTGCCCAGCTGGCCAACTTTTGGGGCTGCCAAGGAGGACCGGGGCCTTCAGCTTGTTGTCAGCACAGCAGGTACGAAATTAATATGCGAGCAACAATTAAGATAAGCGCGCAAACTTGTGAAGTGACTGCTGCGCGGAGGACGCAGTCGGTGGCCCCAATTGAGGTTGTCCGGCGACGGCAGCAGCCGCCAATGACTAAGGCGACAACACGCTGGTGAGTCGGGGCAGAAGCTGGTGGCACCGGGAGAAAATGCGCCCGCGTTCCATTGATTTACTGTGGTATTCATTTGTGCAGTGAATTGCAAACACGAACTGATACACTTTAAATGCAAAACGTCAAAAGATGATCAATTATTACCCAATTAATTTCGCAGTCTATACATAACATAATATTCCTGTATCTTAGTGGCTTAGTAATTTATTTACCACACTATTTGTTACTCATTTGCTACGTTATTTATGCTGTTAAATTTTTTTGAGTTCCATTTGTATTAAAGTTTTATGTGGTGCATGTCAGAAAGTATCTTTTGCAGTGCAAACCCAAACCCAGAGCGGCGATCTTGATCGCACCTCGCCGACTGCTTCCCCTCACAACCAGACTCTGCGGTAGCAGAAATAAACAAAAAATAAACAGCAGAGCTGCAAAAATACTTTATACGAGTTGAACAAATTTAACCACATCCATTAAGCAAGACCTTAAAGACAAACGGCGGCAAGTCTTTCTTGCGATAATAATAAGTATTCATTTCAGATATCATTTTTGTCGCTCGTTCCTTGTGGCCATCGGTTCTTGTTATTTTCGGCATGCCCATACCTATAATAATAATTTAAGTTACCCTTTGCTGATTGCCGATTATATTTTTGGGTGGAATGTTTTTATTAAATTAATGGCGATAGAGGTGGCAACTGCTTGAGAATGCAGGCTTAAATTGATTTTATTATGAGTTATAGAATGCCAAACATGCAAGTATTTCGTGAATTTTAAAAGCAATACAATATTCAATGCACTTTTTTGAATGTTCATAACTATCGTTTATTGAATGGCTAGCATTTCATTTAATTCGCGTACTTGAAGTACTCCTCCTTTCCGGAGGCATCGGCCTTCATGGTCTTGGCTCCGGGACGCCAGTTGACCGGACAGACCTCACCGAACTCATCGCTGAACTGGAAGGCCTGCACCAGACGCAGTGCCTCATCCACACTGCGACCCACTCCCATGTCATTCACCGTGATCTGACGAATGCGGCCCTCGCGATCGATGATGAAGAGGGCACGCAGAGCCAGTCCTGTTTCCTCGTCGAGCACTCCATAGTCCCTGGCTATCTTCATGTTCTTGTCGGCCAGCAATGGTATATCCAACTCACCCAGACCTCCGTTCTTCCTGGGAGTATTCATCCAGGCACAGTGCACAAAGTGGCTATCAGTGGAGCAGGCCAGCACTTCGCAGCCCACATTCCTGAACTCCGGAGCTCTATCACTGAATGCCTGCAACTCCGTGGGGCAGACGTACGAAAAGTCTGCCGGATAAAAAACCAGCAGGACGTATCTGCCACGCAAGTCCGTAAGGGCAAAATTGCGGTAGCCACCGGCCACCACCGCATTGGTAGTAAAATTGGGGGCCACTTGGTTTATATTGAGCATACGCATCTTGACGGTATTACTTTAGTTTTTTGTTTGGAGCTGAGAAAAGTTGGTGCTACTGGATTTGTGATTTCAGGTTTGAATGATCCGATGGGGAGTTATATAGTTTGGCATGCTATGCATGGATATCATTACAATTATAATTGAATTCGTTTATTCGCTCATTTTGAGTTGACCTGCATAAATGCAGCATTTTTGACATTTCCCCTAATCACATTCAATGAAAATGCTCTTACAACGCCCTTTCAGTTTTGCGCCACTTCCTCCTCGAATTTCCAATTCATATCTAACCGACAATCGTAACACGATCAGCTCCAATTAGAGCGTCCTTTTGGCAACACAAACCGAATCGCAATCGATTAAATTGCACCCAATTCAATTATGTGAATTGAGGGGGCCTCGGCGAACCATACACCTGCTGAATGGTCGTGTGAAATGATTGTTGTGTTAATTTCGCATATGACACCATCAGCCGTCAGGGAAATTCAAGCACTTTATGCGGTTTATTGGCTTTGATCGATTGAGGGAGTCGCATTTTTTATATATTTATTATACCGCCATATATGACCGCCAGACATACGGGTCTCGGGTTTCTTGACAGCTCATTCAGTGCGGTCTGTCCCGCTTTTTTAGCATACGTTTTTGTGCCAATTTTGAGTTGGTGAAATATTTGGAGGCGATTTAGCAGCACGTCAATTACCGCTGGCCACCTGATGACAGTTGCAATTAAAAGCAGCGAAGTCAGAGGAAAAATGATGAGAAAAACACGAAAATGCGGGGAAAATAGTTGCCAGTCAACATGGATGGATGCCTGTTAATAGACATGTAAACTGCAATTAAAACAAGCCAACGGGGCGGGGCCAACACACAAAATCGGGGATGGGGCCAACTCCTAAATATTTTGACTCGGCCAACTAACATGGCCAACAAGACGGCGGTCCGGGCTTTTCTTTAATTAAAATATTTAAGCACGCAAATAGGCCTGTCTCTCCATCTGTCTCTATGTGGCCAAGTATACCCGTCAGCCCCTATATCTGCCACATAATCGTACAACCTTTCCGGGCATCGGGATCTGCGGGAAAACTCAACTGGGCGTGTCCACGATATATAGCATAGTATAGAGCTGCCGTTGTGCGGCTTTAATCAAAGTTTTTGCCAGCGGGGAATCAATCATTTGAAATTTAAACGTCATCGTGCGTCAGACAACTCATAAGACAAACCAACAGTAACAGCGGGCAAACCAGCCCAGATCGCCACGATTCGAGATGGAAACGTGAGGCTCTTGGATTGCCAATTACAATTGCAGTTGATGGCAAACAAATGTACCAGCTAAAACAGCAATTAGTTATGTTGCCAATTAAATAATACGAGGTGTGGTTTATTTCCACAGCGTTAATGCGCTGCAAGGCGTAAATGAAATGAGTATCTCTCTTTTATATTCTGTTAAACTTTTAAAAAGTCATTTTTGGAAACACCATAAATGTAGGAATTTTTGGGCATACCTTTGCAACTGATGTGTTTTTTGAAATGAAATATTCATAATTTTGTAGTGAGTAAGCGTCTGAATACAATTAAAAATGTGATGTATGAATATGTATTCATAATTGAGCCCTACATTCCTCCGTGTCACGACATCCCTATCCCATCGCAAACTCCATGGTGAATGCGAATGTGGCGTGTCCGAGTTTTTAGCGAGTCGCCTCCCAGTCCAGCAAGAAATCAACCAAAAACCAAAAACCAAACCCCCGGCCGACGGCCAACGCAATCACAGCATACATTTTTCTTTCTTAAGGTTTGTATTATTTTTCCGTGTATTTCTGTGTATATTTTTTGCCTTTTTTTGCCGGCCTGTCTTCATGTTTCGGCGAAGTTTTGTTAATGAAAGCCAAAAGCGAAATTAATGCGTGTGGCCAACGCCATCAGCAGCGCCCCCAGCTTATCACTGTCAGGCGATCTAAACTGGAACTGGACCTCGTTTAAGCCAAGTCGCTGCGAACTTGGCTGATCTGCTGGTGCTCGACTGAATTTATGTGCCAAATATATATAGAAATTTATTTGATACGGCCCATGGGAAATTTATGCCCCTGTCGCCTGGCCTTTTGTGTTCGGCATTCTGTGTTTGCGCATAGATTTTTAATAAGTGATAAGCATTTGGAATGACAATTTTAAAGTCGATTAATTAATTAAATGGCAATTGAAAATGGCAGCAAGGCCCACAAAACACGGCCACGAAAACATGAAACAATAAAATATACAAATTGATTGATTTTCGTCTTTTTAGGCATATATTTTAATTTTGTTTGTGATTTTATTGCCTGGTTTTTGTGTCAGATGTGAATAGTTTCGAGAATTAGCTTACGGCCCGTTTGTTATCTTGAATAAGTAAATTGAATGGTTATTCAGTTTGAATCTCTGGTTAATGTATTGCTCTTTTTATGTTTTGACATTTTCATGACACGATTCCGTGTTTAAAGATAACCAATTTAAAGTAAATTAAATAGAATGCTGATAAAACAGTTGCTCACAATGCAGGGGTTCTTGTTTTCCAGCTAAAATCGTATTGAATAGCTAAAACGCGATAAGTTTTTTGCTCTCTAGAAGATATTTACCAAATGATAGCATATTTATGTTCAAAATGTGTCAAAGTCAAGAAAAACGCACAGACCATATTTGAGCGGAATATCTGAGCTTAAAACGTGAGATTTTTCTTTTTGTTCTTCTGCACCTGGAATATAATGAGGCAAAAAACAATGTGATTATATTTGCATTTAAATGGTTTAAGCTTAAGCTCTACCAGAAACCTTAAAGCATACCCATTTCCGGAAAGTATCCACTTTTAATTACCTTCTATATCTTTGCGGAAAACTACCCGAAAGTGCTTAGAATTAAATGAATTTATAACATATATTTTTTGTTTATTATATTATTTTTGTTTATTACCGCTTACATACACTGAAATAAATTATTATTAACCACAAAGTAAGAATTTGTCCCGGCTTATTCAGAATTCCTTGCGCTTTTGTACAACTATTTGATTACAACTCAATTCCCCCGGCAATAATTGGGTTTTGAATTTGTATCTAGGGATGCATTTGTATTTAACAAGGCATGGAAAATGCCACTTAGCTCAACACGCGTGAGTTCCAATCTCACGCCCTCCCAAAACAATCATGATGGATCGAAAAGTCTTTAGCTTTCGTATTATTCCGTTTTCCCATGGAACGCCTTGTTATACGCTATACGCTCATAGTTCAATAGTTTGAACTCTTTTTAATTGATCTTGATTAATCGCACACCACACACAGATACGAGAATACGAATACGAAAAAACCAAATACAGATGCCGCCCAAGGAGGCGGAAGGCAGGCTCCCCATATCGAATCGGAAGCCCGACCATTAATTACGCTTTAATTACCCGCTGAAAAAAAACAATCCGAAAATAAACGAAAAATATATAAAACGCATGGGGCAAAAACCTTAATAGTTTCGCCTTATCAGCATAGAGTTTCGCTCGCCAGCACTCCTAATTTCATTAGTTTAATGGCACAAAACTGTGGAAAAACCAACAAAGCAGCGAAAACACCGACGAATGGCTACCAAACTACGCAAAACGTGCAGACGGGGTAGCAGCACAAAAAATTGTTAACAATTGTGAGAATAAATTGCTAAATAATTAAGTGGATCAACGGCCGTTGGCCGACCGAGCAGCTCGAGAGATCTCAGACTCCAAATTGCATATGATTAATTAAAGGAAATAAAATGCTGACGACGGCAGCGGCCACTAGAGAATGAGTAGCAGAAAACTACAGATACAAAAAAACAAGAGCAGACCGAGGAGCCAACGAACGAAAATCTTTTTCTTTAATTAATATTGAAGTGAAGCAAACCGAAGTTCAGTAGCGAACCGACAGCAGAAACTGGAAAAAAACGAAAAAAATAAGCAAGAAAGACAGGAGGCGTTTTTCAACTCATTAACGTTCAAACAAATTCATTTGCATATCTCTACCTGCCCCAAATTAATATTCCATGGCTTCAACATTCTTCTCGACTTTTTCCGTAAATTTGAAACGCTTAAGAAACGAGCTGAGAAATGGTCTCACACACAATTTGAACTGCAACACTGCTCAGTCAGCCAGTCAGTCATTCAGTCAGTCAGTTCCCCCACCTTCGCCAAACACCACCTATTTTATTTCAGTTTCCTTTGTCTAAATGATTTTTATTAACATTTTTTGCTTTTTGCGTCAGGTATTCGAGTAGGATACGCATTTGCTGTGTCACTGCAGCCGAACGTGCCAGTGCTGCCGGCTTAGCTAGTTTATCGCAAGACTGGGTGATGTTATACGCAGGAAGGGATCAGAATTAATGACTTTTTAAACTGAAAAATCATTTATAAGAATATATAATATAAAGAGTTTTAGAATGTACTGAAGGCGCCATGACAGAGTTTTATTTAACCGAGCACTTGTTTTGGTAATCGAATTGGGGAATCGTTAGCTCATCAGCTTAAAAACTTACCAGCAGATGAGGGATCAGAATGAATAACTTTTTAAACTAAAAAATCCTTTACAAAGTAAAGAGTTTTAGAATGTACTGAAGGCTCCATGACAGAGTTTTATTTAAACAAGCACTTGTTTTGGTAATCGAATTGGGGAAGCGTTAGCTCATCAGCTTAAAAACTTACCAGCAGATCAGGATTCATCAGAATTAAAAACTTTTTAAACTAAAAAATTCTTTACAAAGTAAAGAGTTTTAGAATGTACTGAAGGCAGAGTTTTATTTAAACAAACACTTGTTTTGGTAATCGAATCGAGGAATCGTTAGCTCATCAGCTTAAAAACTTACCATATCAACGGAAGCTGAAACACCAACATCAAGACATCAAGTTGAAGGCTCAAGTAAAGTACATATTACCATTTTACCTATATATTACGGCTGGGGATCCTCTGTCTAGCTACTTTCCTGGCCAATCTAGCTAGTTCCTACAGCACCTCAGTGGAGGGGCGATCGTGGACTAGGGAAGGGGCGTTCCGAAGGGAAAGACGCCGGCGCATACGAACGGGGTCCAAAAGCCGAGTGCTGGGCG